GCCACCTTAGGTGTACGTGGCTGGCGCCCTAGCCCGTTGAGCTATAGGCGCCGAGCCTAAATTGTCTTTCTATTCTTTTAGTGGTTATCCTTAAGAATGAAATATATATATTTAGCTATACACTTTCATAAACTGTTGGTGTCTTATCCTCCTCCTAGTAAGATGACAACCTCAATACGCTTTAACACTCACTTATCATCACTCACTCCTGAATTCATTTTACTTAGTTTTTGTACATGTCTGAAAATGATTTTATTTTTCTTCATTCTTGAATGATGTTTAGCTGGATAGGTAAACATGGATTTTCCTTCAAACTCTGATTACTACACATTGATTCCAGACTCTATTTTGATGAAGAGGAGTATGCTAATTATTATTCTTTTATAGTTAGTCTGTTTTCTTTTAGATTTTCTTTATTCTTAACTTTTACTATAATATGTATAGGTGAGATTTGATTCTTACTATTCCCTTCAGAATGCTCAATTCAAAAATCTGTTTTGCTCAAATTTCAGAGAATCTCAGCCATTATCTCTTTAAGCATCACCATTAAATCCGTCCTCCATGCCTGTTCATTACCTTTTTAAATATCTAATGTCTTGCAGGTTTTTTTTTTTTTTTGACCGAGGCTGGGTTTGAACCCGCCACCTCCGGCATATGGAGTCAGTGCCCTACTCCTTTGAGCCACAGGCACCGCCCTCAAATATCTAATATCTTTATCATCGTATCATCCTGTGATACATTCTGGGTTACCCCCAAGTAGTCTCTTCCCATTATAATTTTTCTGTTTGACTTTATCCAATATAAATTTATACCATATATTTGAGTGGGGGGGGTTATTTTAGTTTTAAGGAGTGTAAATTTCATTTCTAGGATTTCTAATTGCTCTATTTTTTAAACACCTTGTCCTACCATGATGACTAACTGGAATTAAGAATACTCTCTGGGGGCGGTGCCTGTGGCTCAGTGGGTAGGGCGCCGGTCCCATATATTGAGGGTGGCAGGTTCAAACCCAGCCCCAGCCAAACTGCAATAAAAAAAATAGCCAGGCATTGTGGTGGGTGCCTGTAGTCCCAGCTACTCGGGAGGCTGAGGTAAGAGAATCACCTAAGCCCAGGAGTCGGAGGTTGCTATGAGCAGTGTGATGCCACAGCACTCTACTGAGGGTGATAAAGTAGGACTCTGTCTCTA